CCCGGGGTTGAATGCGGGGGGGGGGGGGGCACTGGGTTTTCATCCTCGGGCGTTCGACACCCTGAGGCCACACTGTGGACCACGGCTCTCAGCCATGCCCTGCCCCGTGCTCAAGTCTCCCTGCGGCGCACCGTGGCCAGCTGCATGCTCCTTCCCAACATATGCCAAGTCTCCCCCCAGGCTGGCAGCACCCGGCAACCAGGCCTCGCTCCTTCCACCGTGCCACTTGGGTCCTGGCCAGGGCCAGGTGCTGCGAGCCAGCCAGCAGAGGATGAGCAGGCACCTGGAGCAGCCGCTATCTGTCCACCTTCACTCTGCCCGTGGTGCCCAGGCCAGGGAAGAACCATCCCGGTCCCTGCAGGGCAGGACGCTGCCAAGGGAACTGCCCCCCTCCACCGCTGCTCGTCCTCTTAGGCATCTCCCCGCGATTGTCTCCATTGAGCTTTGCCCTACGATGGGCGGTCACAGAGGAGACGCTGGGAAGGCCCCAGGCCACAGGCGCTGCCCAGCTTAGCAGTGCAAGGGAACAGGGAAGCCTGGCAGGCCAGGAGCACCTGGAGGCCTGGGCTGGGGTGGCTCAGAGAGCTGCCACTGACCACAGCAGCTCCCACCCCAGGGCAGGGAGGCGAGGGAGAGAAGCCAGGAAGAGCTGTGGGAGCAGGCACTCCAGTATCCCCTGGACCTGCTGCCCCTGGGGGCTGCAGAGGCTGGGAAGACGGTGCCCAGCTGTGCTGCCCGCACCCGCAGGGCTCCTTCCCAAGAAGCAGGTACCAACTTTGGGCAGAAGGCAACGATCTGAGCTGCCTCCACGCAGGCACCGAGGCCCTGCTCCGCAACGTACAAGACCTGGTCTCGCACGGGTGGTCTGTTCTGTGCAAAGAGGGAGCAGAAGGGACCCGCCAAGCCCCGCTTCTTCCTCAGCCAGTGCTTTCCAGCACTTCGCCTGGCTTGCAGCATCCTGGCAGCGCTGAGCTCGTGTGGTGCCACCCTCAGCATGCCGCGCTCGCCTTCTGCTGGGCATGGCAGAGAAGGGGGGCACTTGCCAGTTTTGGGGGGCTCAGATGAACCACAGAGAGCAGCCTGGGATGTGCGGCGGGTGCAAGCAGCCCACAGCAGCCCCATACAGGCTAATCTGCCCAACTTCAGGCTAGCAGGGCCAAACGCCCTTCTATGCGGGCGCTGCGCAGCAATGCAGACAAGAGACCACATAAGATCATAATCATGGTTTTATTTGTCATGATCCCACTGTCCAACTAAGTTACTAGTTGCAAGTGACCCACAAAAAAAAAAAATGGACTAAAGGTTTACTGAAACGCCTGTTCTGTTCCGTTCGGTTTTAGTCCAACGTAAATGAAGAAGAAAAATACTTCTGACATTTCCAAAAAACAGAAATAATAGCAAAGTATATTAATATACATTCAACATATACTGCGCGTATTGATCACTACAATACAAAGCCATGATAAAAAAAAAGTGTGATACTGCGAAATGGCACGGTTCGGCGAGTCCCTGCTTCCCAGCTGGATGGTCACCGCGAGGCGCTCTCCACTCTCCCAGAAATACAGTGTCATGTAAACAAAAGGAGAACAAACCAAAAGGTACAGAGCGATTGCAAAAAGGCTCGCAGCGTTTCTTGGTACCTCCTCGCTGGGCGCCGGCAGGCCCCTGCCCACCCCCTACGTGTCCCTGGCGTAGGAAGCGCAACTGTACAGCCGTGCACGGACGGAGACGGTGGCACCGGGCTGGGGCAGGGCGCTGCCCGGGAGGCCTGGTCCCCACGGGCGCCAGCCTCTCCTCTCCCAAGTGCAGGTCCGCTCCTCACGGTTCCCACAGAGCAGGATGGCGACCGCAGCCCACTCCCCTTGGCCACGCCGGTCTCACACTTCCTTCTGTGCAAATTCAGGAGGGCTGCATTGATTTTTCCTTTCCTCAAACAAAAGTCACTCGCAGGAATTTTCAGCTGTAGCTTGTAAAAGGTCCAAAGGCAACAATGACACAAAATACTCCCCATGCCCCCCGCTGCTGGAGGGGGCTTTGGTTACTATCGGTCCATGAAAGAAAAGGGAACAACCAAGAAGAGCTCTCTGCACGCCTGAAACTGTCTACAGGAGAACACCACGTCCGCCACGGGAGGAAAACCAGTCACAAGTACAATGTTGTTGAAAGGGAATAAAATACTTTGAACAAAAGGTGCAAGTCACAATTCAAATAGAACAGAATCTAGTTAAAAATTTCTCTCAAACAAATTCCTTTTGCCTTTTTATTAACAACAACAACAACAACAACAATAATAATAAAACAACAACATTTACCAAAAAAATCCTACGTGATCAGGAGGAGAAGCTCATGGAGCAAAGAGAAACGACCTGTCTTCTCTGTGCTAAACGGAAAAGAACTGGAAGGCTGCACATGGGCTCGAGAGGAAGAGGTATAAAAAGGGGGGGAAGAAATGGTCCTTCCAGCACGAGGACAGAAAAACGAGACTAAAGCAAACGAAGGAGACACAAAGCATATTGCACCACTGCTGGGTGTTCTTCCATCTGCTGGCTCAGCGCGCGGGGAAGGCTGGCGCTGCGGAGGGAGATGGCGCCAGTCTTGCAGCAGGGCAGCTCCAGGCCCCGCTACCGTTTGAGACGAAGGAGTTGCACGTGGAGCGCTGCCCCAGCCGCCTGTGGGACGTTCTGCGCAACGTGGCGTCTGCCGGACCCCTGGAAGGACCAACGCAGCGGCAGCTCGGCGCTGGGGAGCTGCGCTTATTGCTCTCCGACGGACACAGCTCCCAAAGGCCTCCCTGCCCCTTTCCCCTCAGGGCGGGCTCCAGCCCAGCCTCTCCCCACTCGCTCCTGGGAAAAGGCAGCGTCTGATGGGGCTGACAGCAGAGTCGGGTGCAGGAAGGGCCTGGCTCCGTGTCCACGAGCACCTTGCCCCTCACAGCCCTCTGAACCAAGCGCAAAGCTCCAGCTCCTGGGATCCCTGCGTGGAGCTTGCTGGCGCTCTCCGTGACGGCTGGAGTGACAGGCAGACGTGGCAAATCAAAGAAACCGAAGGGAGGACACACGGAGGGACCGGACCAGCTGCGAGGAAGGGAGCCACGATATTTCAGTTGGGCAGAAATACGATGGCGATTTGGCGCGACACTGCTAGATACTGTTGGTTTAAAATGGACCTTTTCATTTCAAAGCTGTACACAAGACCTGGGGCGGGGAGAGACGGAGGCACATTAACAGCGGTGCCCAGCGTGGCCTGTCAGACTGTCCTGTTGGCCCCCCAGCTCCCGCCCTGCGCTGCTGGCTCAGGCCCGCTGTGCACGGGCCAGTCCCCACACCTCACGGCAGCGACCGGAGACTGCTACCCACTGCACCGACTGCAGGGCCCGGCTCCCCCCAGAGCGCGTCCAGCAGCTACTGAAAGTCACGGGTCACAGGCGAGGGCTGCTGTCAGCTGGAGGCCTGGCCGACAAGCTTTGCAATGACCCCTGCTTTGGGCACCGTGCCTGGGACTGACCCAGCTGAACAAGGTGCACAGAGGAGACTCAGGACATCTCCAGCCTACAAGGTGGTCGCTCGCGGAGGCAGAAGAGGGAGCGCTCTGGAGCAGTCGCATGGATAGGGAAAAACCAGACACACCAAGGATGATACTCACTCCCTCTTCTGTGTTACACCCCAGCCTGCTCCATCCCAAAGGGCACCTCAGGGTGCTTGTAGCTCAGCAGCACGTCTGTGATACAGGTCGACGGATAACAAGAGGTGTTTAAATGCTGGCTGCCATCAGCTAGATTTGGGTGCTCGTCATCTTCCAAACCTTCCCCGCAGTCTGCAAGAGCACAGAGCAATGTCAGGGTTGGTGGGGAAAGCGGGGAACCTGGAACGCTGGTTGCGAGGCACAGCCAGAAGGCTGGGTGGCCCTCGCTGTGCACGTCACAAACCCAGGACTGCACCAGCTCAGCACTGTGAGGCGAGGTACACAGTCATGCTGTGCTGCACGTACTGCAGCCGGTGCTCCCACGCTGCTCTGTGACAGGGGCGTGGGTGGGCGCCACAACAGTCCAGTGGGTGGATGCCGAGGCTGGACAGATTCAGATTGGGTGCCTAGTTTGTCACAGCACAGCCCCTTTGCTACTGGGACCGCACACCGCGGGACATGGCAAGGTCTGCATTGCTGGGACCCTTTACATCAGCACGGGCTACAGCACAGACTTCAGCAGGCTCAATGCAGGGGGTCAGGCCCGGGATGGGCATGGTCCTCTCAGACCTCAGTGACAATCAGTCTGAACGGCTGTAGCAGACCAGCGCCCCCGATGCCCTCCCAGCCCAGGGAGGTCCTTACCCTCGCTCTCCCTGTCGCGGAGCTGCTGGCTGCCCATGAGCGACGACTGGCTGAGTACCGCATCGGACATCCGGGCCGAGCTTAGTGCTTTCCCAGCCATCAAACTCATTCCAGGCAAGTTGTCCAGCTGCACCTGGGAGAGACCAACAGGAGAGGAATGAGGCCCC